GGGTAAGAAATTCTTCCCCTCTTTCCGTTCGCTTTGGTTGCCGCCCGCTACGCCTGAGGTTTAAGCTTTGTTGCTGCTGTTGTGGCTGTTGTTCATTAGAATCCACGTCAGCATCTACTGCATTTTCTCGCTTCGCAATCGTAGTCCTTCGGAAACCCCAGGTTTTCCTGAATTCTTTACTTGTAGGCTTAATATTTTTTTGTTCCTCCTCATTGCTGTGCTCACCCTTCTCATCTAAAACTGATGCTAAAACCAAGGGAATACTTATTAAACAGGTGTTGAAGGAAGATTTTCTCTTAATTTTTTTTCAAAATATTATTATTTTCTTTGTGCTAGCATATCTATATCTCTACCTCATTTTATGAGTCTGAAAACAGATAAAATGCTTCCTTGTAAATGCAATACTATAGCAGCAGCAATTAAAGAACATTATTAAACACTCTGCCAACACAATCCAGCTGTTACAAACTTGTCTGTTACTTAGAAATACACATATATACACACACATACATATATACAACAGACAAAAAAACCTCCCGTATTTTCTGCTCATTTAAAAGGAAGAAATCTTACCAGGAGAACTATTTTCCATGTTGTCAGTATTAGCTTCAGATTCTACTGGCTGTGAACTTACAGCTTGTTCCATAGTACAGAGACCACTGTCCCCACCTTGAAACGCTGAAGAGAAACATAACGTTCAGAGCTCATTTTCAAAAATACTCATGGTCTAAGAAATTACTACATATTCTGATGTAATCTCATTACGTTATTGTAACAAATACTTAACTGGAATTTCAAGCCACTAACAGTCACTGAATATAAACAAGAAGTTGACTGAAATTCCTCAAAGTCCTAAGTTAAATACATGGGTTTAGATATATAGCAACATATTTTATTTAGAGACCCTTAGAATTTCTGATATTTCTCAAAAAAGTCCTTTCATACTATGAACCTATTCTCTGGGGTTTCTCTGGGGAAAAACCTACAGCAGTTCCATTCCTTACATGGACACAGGAACCAAGCACGCCTCAGAACAACAACAACAAAAAAATTCACCAAAATTTCCAACTATCAGAGATGGAGCCACATGAAAAAAAAAAATAAAATAAAAATATCTGTGCTGGCAACCAGGATCCTCCTTTCTGAAGTTTCTTCCAGCATACTAGGACACTTTCTTATTTGAGAAAACAGAAGCAAATTAGAGAAATAATATAAAATCTGAGACTGTATTTTCAAAATTCAGGAATAACCTAACCTGGTTTGAACAACTATTAAATGTAGCAATACAACATGGTGCAAAGTTTTAAAGGAGTTGCACGCCATGTAAATGCTCTCTTAAATGAATGCAGAAGCGGTGTTTGGCAGTCACTGCAGTCACATTGCTCATGTGGAGCTAGTAAGCACACCTCGAGAACTGGGTAAAAAGAAACAGCATTTTAAAAACGCCACCACAAAACATCCCCCCCCTCAGCTCTGCTCCAAGGATGTTTCTGGAGTTGTTATATGTGTATTCCTGGCTCAAGAACTGCACGGGTAAGCTGAAAGGGAGCATTAACAGAATTCCTAAATAATGGTGCTTGCTGAAAGGACCAAAGATATTTCTATCAGCTTCACATATTACAAGTTTTCAGAGGCATCTTTACTGAAAGCTTTTCCCAATGTTGCACTGTAAGCTGGTGATGCCACCTTATTCAATATACTGCATCAGTTGCAGTCCTGCTGTGCCTCATCAAACACAATCGCTCTGTAGGGCAACTCCTTTGCCTTCTAGATTTACATTTAACAATCGTACAACAGATACATAACTGTCAATGCTATGGAAATCCAAATATCCCATGCAGATATGTTAAAAAAAAACAACCAACAAACCCACTCTTGAGTTGTAACTTAAGGCTCATTTCAGTGAGATATTAAAAATGTTGCTGTAAAAGCAGCACACTCCCGAACATCTAAATAGAGATTGTTTTTAACATTATAGACAGAAGAAAGTGAGTTTTACTAGGTAGTACACAGGTAAAAAGCTGAAAACTGCTTCAATTTGGTATGAAATTCCATTAGAGTTCCTCCATAAAAAACCCCACTAACTGTAAACACTAAACAACACTAAAATAATATTCACACCAGAAGAAGGCCGCAATGGAAGTAAGGGAACAAGTCAAAACAGTTGTAGTTAACATCTTTGTTTACCTTGGAAGATGAAGAAATGTTAAAAGCTACAAGCAGAGGTAATCCAAAGTCTGAGATTTAAACTCCAGATAAAAGGTAAGGAAATAAGAAGTCTCTTCAATGTCCTCTCTATGCTTTACCTGACACAGCATTAGAGGTTACAACAGCTGCTCCCCGCAGAGCTGAATGAAAAGCAGAGCCAGAGGAGGGCAGCAAAGGATCAGAGTCATTCAGCATTATCCTTCCGGCACATGCCGAACCTCCTGATTCCCAAGTGCCAGGCTCTGTCTCGGAGTTGTCAGCAGGACCAAACACTATCAAGCCTCCTTCTCCTGCTGGCTCCTGGAAAAAAGAAAAAAAAGAGACAAAGTAAGATACCAATACATTTATGAGCTCATTTTACTATTTTATTTTGCCTCTGTTACATTACAAAGCAAATTCTGTTACTTTGCCTTCTTGACAGTTTTCTACTTTCAGAAAGACATGGAAACTGGAAAGAAAAGTTGAAATAAAGCAATATCACCTCCACCACTTACCAACAGTTGAGAGCTTTGAAATAAATACAACGTATGACTGTAATCTCATTAATTCCTTTAGATTCCATTAAGACTGACAAAACAGTAATAAATTCCAATCAACACATATATTCCATTTACAGTACTTAAAAGTATTCCAAGAGCAAAATTTAATCTGGGTATATTGTGCAAGGAAAATGCAGAAATGATTTTAATTCCTGTCAGCATGCCTAAGGTTACAGTAGGAAAGATTTACCAGTTCATACTAAGTTTCACCACAGAAGAACACCTGCAGCTTTAAGAATTTATATCCAAGCAGATACTAAGTGGTTTTACAAGGTGGGATAAAAAAAATTTATAGTTGAGCTTCAGAATTAAGGAATATTCCTTATCACTGTCCCTTTCACTAATAAGGTTTGCAAAATGGAAAAGTTCAGAAGCTTTTTTTCAAGGATAACAGGTCATATCAATAACAACATAAATTAACTTTTGGAAAACATATAAAAAAATAATCACAAGGCATTCATGTAAAGCATCTGAACAAAACCAATGTTTAGTTCAGGGATCCCAATTCACATGCAGAATGGCAATGGAACATCAAGACTAATGCTTGCTTCTGAGCCTGAAAATCAGTAGGAAATGCCTGACATAGTCTACCAAACTACAAGAACACTGAAATATAATTTGGGAGGAAAACGAGGATCAGATGGACAGCACAGGAAAAGTCACTTTTGAACTGGCGTATAAAACAAGTAGTGACGACAAAAGAACAGAACTGGGACACAGAGCCCATGTGTCAGCAACCTGCAATTAGTGACACAGGAACTGCTGTAACAGGTGTAGGAAATAACCAAAACATTTAATAATTCTTCAAAAGGAGTAAAAACTGACTGTTAACATTCCAGATGAGAGACATAAAAATTTAAGAACAGATTAGATAATCCTTCATAGACATGCCAATACAGAAGTCTGACTTTTCTTCTTAAAGAATGTAATTTTCTTTTCTCTTTTTTTTTTCCTCCCCTCTCAGGCCCCCAACTCTTAAACCATCTTTGGTTCTTCTAAGCCCTTGTTACTTGCTAAACAGTGATCGTCTCCAGGTGTTCCCCAAAGTCATGACACTGTCCCAAAAATAAGTAGTGGGGAAAAGACAACCCCCCAAATCTGGTTTTCTTCAGTGGATCACTTTATTTCATGACCAGTAGATCTCAAAATTTGCATGACTGTGGCAAAGTAGAATCAAGGAAAAAAACCCATGAGTATAGCTAGATCCACCTCAGTATTTCCTTCCCCTGCACTGTCCCTACAGGGGATTACATACATTATCTATATTCTTTTCCTCACTCAACTATTCCTACTCAAAAAAGAGAAGGGGAAAAAATAAACCAAAAAAGACAACAGAAAAAACTAATTGTAAAGACCCTGGTGCTATATCTCAAGTCACTGAATACCTGCTCTAATATGTATTTTGCTCCATTGTCTGAATCAGTGATTTTATCCAGGGAGTCAGTCACTGATGGCTGAAGACAGTCTGAGTTTAAAGTGTCTTCTTCTGCGCTCTTGCTCTGCAATAACCTTTCAATCTCCCTGTTCAGAATCTCCAACTGATCACACATCAGGCAATTTTTAAGCGAGATGCCTAAAGGAAGAGGGAGAGTCAGCTAATCACTTCTTGTTCAACTCTAATATTAAACCATGAAACAAACTATACCTCTAGAACATGTACAAAGTGCATCCTGTTTGAATAATTTATCCAGTAACACACCAAAGCAAGCACCGTCTAAAGGGCTGCCTTCAGAGTGCAGTTACGTGTCTGTGCAGCCACGGCTCTGGGGGCAACAGGCTGGGCAATTCTGTTTGATCCCCAGAGCCGACACTGCTAAAGCGTTCCAAAACCAGAACCGGCATCCTCCCTTCTCTGGAGACCCTCTGCCTCCTTGAACCTGACACAGTTTACAACGTTAGTCATACCCCACCCAGTGGCAAGGCTGCACAGTGCACACTCTACACCCGATTTAACTCAAAATAGCGCTTTTAACACAAATAATAATTGCAAACTAAGAGATTCCATGCAAGGATCATGCTTCTCTTTGCATTAGCAGATGTTATCTCATTATTATTACCAGTATTACCCAGAGAACAAAAACTTGAACAGAACTGCAATTCTAAAATAATTTCAAATTTGAGAGGAATAAAAAGTCAGTACATTTACATTAAAATTACAAACCCCCTACATTTGCTTGGTTATTTCTCATTATTATTTAATATCAACATTTTTTCCTCTCCCCATTTGGTTCAAGCTATGTTTCATGGGAAGTAGGTTACATGAACCTGCTGTTGGAGAAGTGCATCTTAATACACATGAAACTTAAATGTCTAAAAGAAGCTGAAAAATCAAAACACAAAAGCACAAAGCCTTAATTCACAATTGTACTTTTAAACACAGGAAGCCTGTTGGCACTTCTAAGCAAACATTCTACTATCTGTGTGCAAAAAAAATTACTAGAACATAAGGCAGCTTTGGAAGTCTTGTTTCTCTTCCCAACTCAGTAGGATTTTTTGTTCATTTTGTGCTATTTGTTCTCAAGTTAGGTATTAAATTGTAGTTGAGATACTGACAGAAACGTGAGCTGAAGCAGCAAACTGTTTATCTTGTTTTAAAGGAACTGAACATCCACGATCAATTTAATCTTATTCCTCCTAATAAAGTACACTAATCAAATTTCTGAAATTGGAAGTTCTCACTGGAAACTGAAAATTACTCTAGTTCTAACAGACAATTCCCACCATCATCATCACTGTGCATTTCTGCCACATCTCCTTCAGAAAGGATATTATGTAATTCTGAAAATATTGAGGCAAAAATCTCTATAAATGATGGGTCAGACAGGCAAAATAATATTAATAATAAACATATATATTGTTGCTGTTGTTAAAATTCCTCTGAGTTTGCCTAAGTTAACAAATTCTGTGGTGAGCAATCTCCACTGTGAAAATGTGTAAGCTTTTGAAATCAACTATAAATCAAGTTTGAAACACCCACCAAGAGTTTCTTCCAGGAAAAATCTTCTCTCCCTTCATGGATGAATTAATTTTTGCCAATACAAACTTGAGGTTGATTTAAATGGTCACCTAACATACCCAGCAGGTCCTCAGTATACAAAGGATTCAGAGTGCTGACTACATCCACATCTATGTGCTACAAAGAACAACGTACAACCCTCACACTATTTGGGCTGCTACTGTCCTGCTCCCTTCTCCTGTGCCCAGTTACACGGTCTGTGCCGCATCCACTCGGGTACCGCTGCCATAGAAACAGTAAACACTCCTTAGTAAACACTCAGCTCATGAATTCAGCAGAAAATTAACCCTCCAAAGAGTCATCCAAAAGGATTTAAAAAAAAAAAAAAACAACAAAAAAACAAAGCATCAAAACTAGTGTAAAGATGTGCAAGAACATGGATGGAGAACAAGAACTCCTGACAAGCAGGCTGAGCTGGTGCCCATCTCACTCAACACATGCACACCAGCGTCCAGGCAGGACGTTCATTAACTGTCCCCCCAGTCAAGACTCCTTTAAGCTTGCAACCTGTAGTAACACGTGCATTCCAGTGCAACAGAACAGTCACTTATCTAAAAGTGAAGCAAAAAGCTGATGCCCAGTATCTTGAGAAAGAATAATCAGTCAAGAAAGCATTTACTTAAGGGTTTCCTCTCTCATTAGTTTGCAGGTAAAATCTTTCAGCTTTCCCCAAACAAGTCAGGTACTCGAATCCTATCTGGACCTAAATTCCAGAAGGAACACATGCACAGAGGTATCCTATCCTAAAAAAATAATAAATCACAAAACTGTTACAAGCTTTTAATTTCATTTGGCCAACCATTCCTAAGCAGTAGCAAACCCAGTGACAAACCCACGGGGCTGCTCAATGTTTAAGACTATAGAAACCATCGCCTCGGGGATTCAGCATCCCTGTGGATCCTCTAACGACTGCACGCCTGCGTGGCTTTCGGTACGCACCGCTTGGAATTTCAGAGCAGTATTAGCAGTCAGTTTAACAAGAGACACAAAATTATTCCCTAATTCCAAATCCTGCTACTGCAAAACCACTTGCTCACAAACATGCGATAGATATTAAAAATCTTTCCTCCAACATGCCTTCATTAAACAACTAAAAAAGAAAGCTTGTAATTTCACTCCACATTTCTGTAAATACATTATCCTTCTCATTCAGATAAAACCTCCAAATCTTACTTTTTTGAGGAATCTATCTGAAAGACTAGTGATCTCATTAATTTTAATCCTCATTGTCAACCGCTAGACAACAACAGGCTGCACCTTATTCGACGTTGTTGGATGTCAGACTCTTCCATACACAGCCCATGTGCTGTAATCTGCACAATTTTGGTATCTCATTATTTAGAGGTTACACATGCACCTTGTATGAGTAATTTAGTCCAAATGCTTAATATCTGGCACCTGTTGGTTCTTACTTCCTACTCACCCCACGAACTCTGCAGAAGGATGTACCAAAGACCTCACACATACTCAACCCTATATAAGCAAGCAAGGGTAACCTCGTATTTCAGACTTGTGATAGATCCCAGTACCTGCAGGAGTTGTTTCAGTGTGACCTGTTACCTAACAAACATCTACTGTTAAAGAGAAACAAACAAAAACACCCCAAAACTCACACAAACTTAATGGAGCGCCAGCTAATG